TGAAAACCACAAAAAAAAAAAAAAAAAAAAAAGAGGGGGGGTGGGAGTGAGAAAGCAAGCCATCAGGGCTGGGACTTGAACTAGTTGGTCATCTGAGAGTCCAGCACCTTTAACCACCACCTGCCGGCCCCTACACCCTGTGTTTTTCAAGTCATTGTGGCTGGAATTGGAACTGGACAATCAGCCACGTGAGATCTGGCGCTTTAGCCAGATCCCATGTACCCTTTGGCAATAGAATAATGAAAAACATTTTCTCTGACTTTTATTAAACAGTCTGGTGCCAGTTGGTGGTGTAGTTAAGAGGACTGAATCCCACATGATTAACTGAGCGGTTCTCAGATTCAGTGACTTGTTAAACCATGTAGGGTGTGTGTGTGTATGTGTGTGTGTGCTCAAAATCCCAGGAAGATAATGGAGTGTGGCTATCCCCTCTCTGGGGAGCGATTTATTACTTTCCCCTTCTCTTTCTGTGTGTCTGTCTAGCAAGCACACATACCCTATAGCAAATTCAAAAAAAAGAAAGTCTAGTTATTATAGTTCTCATGCCCCTCTTAGGATCCTTTGCCTTCCTATTCTCAGGAGGTTATACTTTAACTCACTACATGATGTGGACCTGAGCCTTCGTTCTTTTTTTATTACAGTCCAAGTAAATATCTGTTTGATCTTATGTGAATTAGGGATGCAAGAGAATTGTTTTTCTCCATCCTGTCTCTTCATTTCTGTTGACTCATAAATGTTCTTTATCTGTGGTCTTTATTAGAGAAGTTGCTTGTTAACCGAAAAGGTTATGTTGACAAAGTTGGTGGTTGTGTGGTTTTTAATTATTATTAGAACCATTGCAGATATTTTCCATAGAATTTAATTGCTGTTTTCTATAGAAAAATAATTAAAAAAACAAATGTAATATATTTACTGAGCAAATCTTTTCTTTATTCATTTCAGTTGGAAAGACATCCTTGATCACCAGATTCATGTATGACAGCTTTGACAACACCTATCAGGTATCTTGTTTTTTTGCAGCTTATTACTTCTCTATTTTGTGTTAACAAGTATTATCCGGAGTGTTTTTAAAAACTCAGTAATTTATGTGCAGTTGTGAATGTAAAAAACACTTTCCATAATTTAGAAAATGCTACCTAAATACAAAGTGTAAAGAATTTAGCCTATTGAGACCAGCAGTTAGCGTAATGGCTATGTCGCTCGACTCCTACGTGGTCGACCACGGTTCGAGTCGCGGACCCGGTGGCTTAAAACTCACGCCGGGCGCATGTGCGTGTGTGCCCAAGATCCTGAGAGGAGAGTGGAGGAGAAGGGATTGCAGCGTGACCATCCCCCCTTGGGGGTGATTTCTCGCTTTCTGTCTCTATGTCTCTCTCTGTTTGTCTGGTGAACGCACGCGCCCTGTAGCAAAAACCTCTCTAAAAAAAAAGAATTTAGCCTATAGTCCTCAACTTTATTATTTGTTTTCTTTCATCTCCTCTTCCAAAGTCTGTGGAAAGATTATCTCTAATGTCATTTCGGATGGAATTGGAAGTGATGATAGATGTTCTTTTATGATTATGTCCAGGTCTAAAATTCTGTGACATTTAGATCTACACATGAAGTTAAGAACATATGAGTAATGAAATTAGAAATCATTAACAGAAAGAGATTTGGGAAGTTCTGGAATATGTATAAATCGATCAATATACTTATAAATAACGAATGTCAAAGATAAATCACAGTAGATATTAGAAAATATTTTGAGATGAAGAAAAAGTACAGTACACCAAAGCTTACATGAATATAACTAAAGCGGTGCTGTACAGAAAAGAAGAAAGGCATTAAATTAATAACCTAACCTTTTACCTTAAGAAACTTGAGAGGGACCAGCAGATGGTGTAATGGCTACGTAGCTAGACTCCCACACAGCCAGCGCGAGACCCAGCGGCGTAGAACACACGCCGGGTGTGTGCATGTGTGTGTGTGTGTGTGTGTGTGTGTGTGTGTGTGTGTGTCCAAGATCCCAAGAGGAGAATGGAGGAGAAGGGATTGTTGCATGACTACTCGGGGTGATTTCTTGCTTTCTCTCTCTCTGGTGAGCACACATGCCCTATAGCAAAAAATCTCTTTACAAAAACAACAATTCTGGAACCAGCAAATGGCGTGGTGGTTAAGGTGCTGGGTACTCCCACATGACCGACCACAGTTCGAGTCCTGGATGTGGTGGCTTGCATTCTCACTTTTCCTCCCTCTGTCTGTCTCTCTCTGGTCAAATTAAAATAAATGGATGAATAAATATAATTAAATGTTTTTCTTTTTTTAAGAAAAAGAAAGAAACTTGAGAAAGAAAAGCAAACTAAATCCAAATAAAGCAAAAAGAAGATACTTTTCTCTCTCTCTCTTTTTATTTGTAGTTTTTTGTTTTGTTTTGCGTTTTTGAGAAGTTTTTGCTGTAGGACGTGTGCGCTTGCCAGAAAGACAGAGAGAGACAGAGGACAGAAAGTGAGAAATCACCCCCCCCCAGGGGGGATGGTCATGCCACAATCCCTTCTCTTCTGTTCTCCTCTTGGGATCTTAGACACTCATGCACACGCGCCTGGCGTGAGTTTAAGCCACCGGGTCCAGGACTCGAACCGCGGTCAGCTACGTGGGAGTTCAGCGACATAGCCATTACACTAACCTCTGATCCCACCTTTTTTTGTATATCGTATTTTAACGCTTCTGTTTCTCCTCAGTAGGGAAACCTACTTTGGTGAAAAATACTTCCCACCATTCTTTGTGGAAAAGTTACCACTAACGAAGCTCAAAATATCAGTCTTAGGGACTTAAAGTAAAAATTGAGGCAATTGAAAAATTCAGGCACTGTGAAAAATTTATCACAATGTAAATTCATATCTTTTTTTTTTTTTTTTGGAGAGGTTTTTGCTATAGGGCGCGTGCGCTCGCCAGACAGACAGAGAGAGACAGAGACAGAAAGCGAGAAATCACCCCCCAGGGGGGATGGTCACGCCACAATCCCTTCTCTTCCATTCTCCTCTTGGGATCTTGGGCACGCACGCACACGTGCCCGGCGTGAGTTTTAAGCCACCGGGTCCGGGACGTGAACCGCGGTCGACTACATGGGAGTCCAGTGACATAGCCATTACGCTAACTGCTCATTCCCAAAATTCAGATCTTTTAAAATAGAACCAAAGACCATAGTATTTTAAAATGTGAACTAGAGGGGCCAGCAGATTGTGTGGTGGTTGAGCCACTGGACTCCCATGTGGCCAATCATAGTTTGATGCCTGGACTCAGAGACTTACCTTCTCATTTTCACTTTCTCTCTCTTTCTGCCCATCTCTCTCTCTCTGTAGTGAGCATGAGTACCATAAAGCAAATTTAAAAAATAACAATGATGGAGCCAGCGAGTGGCATAGTGGCTAAGTGGGCCGGACTCCCACATGGCCAACCGTGGTTCAAGTCCTGGACCTGGCAATCCTCACTTTCTCTCTTTTGCATTCTCTTTTTCTCGTTCAATCTGTCCCTCTCTGGTCAAATTAAAATAAGTAAATAAATAAAGTTAAATAAAATAATTTATCTGCACTTATCAGAAAGACAGAGACAGAAAGTGAGAGATCACTCCCCAGAGGAGATGGCCATGCCGCAATCTCTTCTCCTCTATTCTCCTCTCGGGATCTTGGACATGCATGCACATGCGCCCAGTGTGAATTTAAGCCACCGGGTCTGGGATCGAACCACAGTTGACTACATGGGAGTCCAGCAACATAGCCATTATGCCAACTGCTGGTCCCAATAAAATAATTCTTAAAAAAAAAAGATAAATAAAATAATTATTTAAAAAATGTAAACTAGGGGGTGTTGGGATAAAGAATTATGAGCTAGAGACTGTATTTAGAATCTCTAGATGTTTTAAAACACTTCATTATACTCAAGTTCCCTGTTAAATTAAGGAGATGTTTAGGCATTTCTTAAAGCGCCATTCCTATTTATTCATGTACTGAGATGATTGCATCTGTACAGTCAAACATATATAAGGGCATTGAGCATGTTGATGAGATATAGTTGTATGGAATTTCATAGTTTCAGAAAGATTTTGATTCTTTGTGTGGAAAAATTTCACTAATGAAGTCAAAATATCATACTAATAGGAAAGACTTATTTGTAATATGAGTTACAGATGTTTATAAGTATTAGGTACAGTTCTACATCCAAAGATAGTGCTCTATCGAGAAAATGTGGGCATGGGAACCAGCAGTTAGTGTAATGACTATGTCGCTGGACTCCCACGTAGTCGACCACGGTTCATGTCCTGGACCCGGTGGCTTAAAACTCACGCCGGGCGCGTGTGCATGTGTGCCCAAGATCCCAAGAGGAGAATGGAGGCGAAGGGATTGCGGCATGCCTCTATCCCCTGGGGTTGATTTCTCGCTTTCTGTCTCTTATGTCTCTCTCTGCCTGGCGAGTGCACGCGCCCTATAGCGAAAACCTCTCCAAAGGAAAAAAAAAAAAAGAAAATGTGGGCAGTATATCACATCATACATCTTTACTTAGGAAATTGAGAGTATATGGAATATTATCTTTGAATATGAAAATCTGGCCATGTATGGTTAGCTGCCACCTTAGTTATCAGGTGAAGAGTTCTTTAGTAAATCATTTGAAGGTTGCCCACTTTTTTCCCACCATACTTACATTAGAAAACCTTCTGGAATGAATAAGTTTCATTGCTAAAAATTTATTATTGAACTTACATGAGCCATCTTTTCTTCCACAAAAAGATAAATTTTTAATATATTTCGTAATTCATATTTTGTATCTGGTTCCTTCACACTGGGATATTATTTTTTAAAAGCAAAATAATGACTTGTTTATATTAACAGAATTAAATACAAAGCACCTCAGTGTACATTGAGATTACTTCCCAATAAATCAATTGGAAGTTGAAAATACATTAATACACCTAACCTACTATCAGAACTTATCCTAGGCCACCTTGAACTGCTAAGAACATTTATATTAGCTTACTATTGGTCAAAATCATGTAATACGAAGCATATATTATAATGTTAACCATCTCATAGAATTTATTAAATATTATACTGAAAGGGAAAAGCAAAATTGTTATATGGGTATTTGAACTATGGTTTCTATTAAATGCATATTGCTTTTGCATTATGATAAAGTTGAAAAATTACAGGTTGAGTCATAAATCAGGGACTGTATATGTGTGTGTGTAAAACTTATGTACATATACATAAAAATACTTGTTAATGAGATGATTAACCTTCTAAAATAGAATGTACATCAAGATTCACTTTGTGAGGTTCATTGCCTTTTTTCCATTCTTTTATTTATCACACATTTAATTTGGGACTCTTTAACTGTCCACTTTTTCCTCTTTATTTTAGTCTTTGCCTCTTTTTGACTTTCTTCTTCTTTCTCCTTTTTCTCTTACTAAGGAAAGGTAGACAACAGAACTTTACATATGTTTGGACCATAGAAGAAGAAAGCTGATTATCATTGCTTGGTGGAGAGAAAATTTTGCTTTCCTTACTTAATTGCTTTTCTTTTACATTGGAAAAAATTATGTGTCTATGGAAAATCATGATGCTTGTGGATCTCTGGCTAACTGTGGCATCAAGACAGTTAATAAGCCACTTTGTAGGAAATCAGACATGATAGCAGTTTACATCAGCAATATTCTGAAACTGCTGTTGGGACAAATAAGCACCATTCTAACTAAGATATTCACACTAAAGTTCATATATACAAATATTTGAAGATTCAAATACAAATATTCAAAGTAAAGTTTTCATTATCTTATTATCTATAAAATGAAGAAGGAATGAGAATAAGCTACCTTGTAGGAATGTATGAGTATCAGACATGATCATGTAAAGGGCTTAAAACAATCCCTGTCGTGGGGCTGACAGGTGGTGTGGTGGTTAAGGTGCTAGACTCCCACATGGCCACTCTGGGACTTCCCAACTGCAGTTTGAGTCCCAAACCTGCTGGCTGGATTTCTTTTCTTTTTCTTTCTTTCTTTCTTTCTTTTTTTTTTTTTTTTTTTTGAGAGTTTTGTTTTTGCTATAGGTTGTGTGCGCTCACCAGAAAGACAGAGACAGAGAGATAGAAAGTGAGAAATCACCCCCCGGGAGGATGGCCACGCCACAGTCCCTTCTCCTCCATTCTCCTCTCGGGATCTTGGGCACATACGCACACATGCCTGGTGTGAGTTTAATCCACCAGGTCCAGGACTCGAACCATGGTCTGCCACATGGGAGTTCAGCGACATAGCCATTATGCTAACTGCTGGTCCTGTGACTTGCTTTCTCACTCACTACCCCCGTCTCTGTCTCTGTCTTTGTCTCTCTCTCTGATCAAAAAATTAAAAGAATCCCTAACAGATCAGGTGCTCAATGTGTGGAAGTCATTATCACTAAAAATTTTGTTTGTTCTTATCTATGATGTATTTGTGTGTTTATTCATTATTTCTTTCACAATTACAAATTCCATTTGAATCCTAAACTTCTAGTCAGCACTTATTACTATTTAACTTGTCATTGTTTTGTTTTACAGGCAACAATTGGCATTGATTTTTTATCAAAAACAATGTATTTGGAGGATCGAACAGTGAGTAATATTTTCATTGTGCAATTTTCTCCAACACTTCAGATTAGAAAACAGTGATCAAAGCTATATAGTTGGTGATTGTCACAATAAAGTTCTTAGGAAAGTTATCAAGGTTAGTTTACAGGCCTTGAGAAAAACTTACTACATGGGAACCAGCAGTTAGTGTAATGGCCATGTCGCTGGACTCCCACATAGTCAACTGTGGTTCGCGTCCCGGACCCGGTGGCTTAAAACTCACACTGGGCGCGTGTGTGTGCGTGCCCAAGATCCCGAGAGGAGAATGGAGGAGAAGGGATTGCGGCGTGACTATCCCCCCTGGGGGGTGATTTCTCGCTTTCTGTCTCTATGTCTCTCTCTGTCTGTCTGGCGAGCGCACACGCCATATAGCGAAAACCTCTCAAAAAAAAGAAAAAAACTTACTACAGAGTAAGTAGTACTTGTCACTTTAACTTCTTATCCCCAAGTCAATTCCAAAGAGAGAGAAAACCAAATTATCATAAACCCTAATGTCACTAGTTGTGTTTAAATTTGTCATCCTGGGGCCAGCAGGTGACATGGAAGTTAAGGTGACTGGATCCCACATGGCTGTCCGCATAGTTCAAGTCCTGGACCCCGTGGCTTGAAAAACACATCAGGCACATGTACATGTGTGCCCAAAATAATGAGAGGAAAGTGGAGGTGAAAGGATTACAGCGTGACAATCCACCCAGGAAGTAATTTCTCACTTTCTGTCTCTGTGGCAATTGCATGTTGTGCCCTACAGTAAAAACTAAAACAAACAAAAAAACTAAGAAAAACAAAACAAAAAACAAAATTTATCATCCTGAATTAGAAAAACGATAATAAATAGCTTTATAAAAGAATTAAGGGCTGGCCTTGTGATACAAGAATGAAGCACTGCATGGAAGAAGCCTAGATCCTGCATGGCAAACCAAGGTTTGAGTCCCACTCGAGTAGCTTGAAAAACACCTCAGGCATTCATGTATCCTGATGAGGTGGAGAATTGGAGGAAGAATGAGTACAGTGAGACCAGACCCTGTTGAGGGATGCCTTCTCTTTCTGGCCATCCTATGCGCATGCACATGTGCATGCACGTGCTCTCTAGCATTAAAAAAAGAGAGAGAATTAGAAGAGAGTTTTCATTAAGAAATTAGTCACTGAAGACCTTTTGAATGCCATTCTTTTTGTTTGTTTGTTTTATTGTTTTAGAGAGATTTTTGCTATAGGGCACTGTATTTGCCAGAGAGACAGAGACAGAGAGACAGAAAGCAAGAAATCACTCTCTGGGGGAATGGCCATACAGTAATCCCTTCTCTGTTCTCCTCTCGGGATCTTGGGCACATACGCACATGCACCCAGCGTGAGTTTTAAGTTGCTTCAAGGACTCAAACTATGGTTGATTACATGGGAGTCCATCAACGTAACCACTGTGTCATCTGCTGGTCCCTCGATTGCAATTCTTGAGGCATTCAGAAAGATTCTATTTGACTGTCACACAGTTTGTGAACTTCAAGATTTTCTTTGTCAGAATAGGATGTGTACCAAAATGACCGAATAAAAAGAAGTACTATGTTTTTATTTGTTAAGTTTTTGTCTTCCATTCTTGGAATGTTCCCTTTAAATACAATGTGAATTCTATATTCTAGCCCATTAATCTTTTGAAGAGATTCGTGTCACCTAAACAGTGACTATCTTAAATGCAGTATTTCAGGACCTGCACCCTAAAAATATTAATTTATCTCCAGTGCTATTTCTTGTAAGTGTGTGACTTTTTTCTTTTGGATGTTCTTTTTATGTTTTAAAATATAGCATGCTGTTTCTTAAAACTTGAAAGCTTGGAAACTGGTTTATAATGATAAGCGAACTTGATGCTTGTTTTCAGGCTTTCTTCCTATATATAGATGTGAGAACGTATAAAAATCTTTTATGTGGGGTTATGAAAAGATATTTCTCCTTTTGGTATAAAACATGCAATGCTCTATAGAGAAATGTATGGGAGAAACATAAACACAGAAGAAGTAATGTGTATTTATTTGTTGGATTTATTTGTTTTCCATCCTTTAGACTATTCCTTTAAATTTTACCCCCAAGATAATTTCAAAGTGTTATATACCCAAGAAGAAAGACTTAATACATTTTAGCTTTGGAGAGGCTTTCAAGAAGTATTAATTAATGTACTCTGATAGTCTGGGCTACTCATTGCCATTTACCTTATTTTTTTCTCTTTTATGCTTGGTATTTTAATATCAACAATATACTTTTTTGCCATCTGTCATGCATAAAGATTTGAGATTATAGGGAAAAAGAGAAGTCACATTTCTGATCCTGTGAAATCTTTTCAAGTGGTATTTTTTTAGTCATATACCGTCAGAGCAAGTAAACTTTAATAGTCCTTTAAAAAAAAAAGAAAGGGAGTTTTGTGTTATTTTCATTTTCATTACCTAAAACCTCTTGCATGAGTCTCCTTTCTGTTTCCCTTCCCACCCTCCCGTTTTAAAAGCAAATTATTTCCTTTTTCTTTTTAGAATTAGTTTCTTTCTTCTTCTTCTTCTTCTTTTTTTTTTTTTTTTATTTACTTTTTCCCATCCCACAGATCAGGCTGCAGCTGTGGGATACTGCGGGTCAGGAACGTTTCCGTAGCCTCATTCCCAGTTACATCCGTGATTCTGCTGCAGCAGTAGTAGTTTACGATATTACAAGTAGGTATATTGCAATGGGTTGACCTTTCTTATTTTTCTTGCTTGTTTGACTGATTTTGTTGTTAGGTACGATTGCAATTATGGGACACAGCAGGTCAAGA